CCTGGTTGATGGGACAGGTGTTGTGAAGGAAACGGTGCCCAGCTTGAAAGAGCTCCTGTGTGTTGCTGAATGTGAGCATTGATGACTGAAAGACATCTTTTGTCTCCATTTATCTGTTTACTACAGTGTGTTGATTTCATGTTAATGAGTATTTAAAGACATTTCAATTAGTGGGGGAAAAAATGCGGGGGGGGGGGAATATAAAAATATCAACTAACCATGCAGACCCTCATGCAGTACCTCCGTAGACCCCCTAGGGGTCGCGGATCCCCTGTTGAAGACCTCCGCTCAAGAAGATTTTACTAACACAAACTGAGGGACCAGGCTGAGGTAGGAATTTAAGGTTACTGAAGTGCGGATTTATTTACTGAAAGCCGGCGGGCAAACTTGTTGCCATCATCCTCACCGACCACCTGGTCATAAACCTGTTTTAAGTCGCCTCCATGCTGCTGTAGCTTCAACGCTGCATTTTGTTTTGATGACGCACGCGGCTGTAGGCTACGACGCTGGTAGCTGCTGTTGCCAGATTGGGTGTTTTTCCCGCTACATATTAAGGCCTGTTTACGGTGTGATTTAGCCGGGGTTTCGCCTGGAGGGCTTTATAGAAATCTAGCAACCTATTGAAAGGAACTGAACTGAGAGAGCGTGCCGTTCACAGACACCAGAATGAACGAGTTCACAATAACGTTCATCAGGCAATAATGCAGTACGTTCAGTTCACGTTCGCCCAAAATATGAACGAGTTCATGAACTTTCGTTCAATGAACGCGTTCAGGCACAACACTGTATATATATATATATATATTGTTTTGAAAAGACCCCTAGAATCTAATTTATAAAAATAGGTTGAGTTTCGGTCAGAATCTTGAGCCATATGCTGCAGTTACATATATATAACATAATATATTATATATATATATATATATATATATATATATATATATATATATATATATATATATATATATATATATATATATATATATATATATATATATATATATATATATATATATATAATTAGTGCTGTCAATCGATTAAATTATTTTAATCGCGATTAATCGCATCAATGCCTAAGTTAACTCGCGATTAATCGCATTTTAATTGCACATTTTTTTCCTGATTGAAAATCATTTAAATACTCTCGATGACATACAAAAAAATACATACAGGCTAGGTTTGTGCCAATGTTCTTTTTTTTAAATGAAAACAGGTCACAGACACTGATTTATGCCATAGAAACATATGGCAAGAAGATGGGGAGGCATGTAGCAAAAAATAACAAATATGTAGGCAAAAAAAAGGCCCTGAAAACAAGCTGATGTAAAAGACAGTCTTTACAGTTAATACAGTCTTTTGAACAAAGACAAGCATTTTACCCTACTGCTATAAAATGCAGTAGAGTTAACATTAGATGTTAATTAACCAAGATAATAATTAACAATTTTCAATCAATACATCAAAATCAATAGACCGACATCACTAGATGGAGGTAGTCTATGCTCTAGAAAGTTACTTTTCAGCCTCTTAACAAAAATGAGAACACACACACACCCACACACCCAAACACACACACACACGCGATACTGACCTGTGGCGTACACAGACGGCAAGAGCGGCGTAGCAGATTCCATTTCACCTCAGTAATCTGTTTTCTCAGCGTATTTCAGGTTGCTACTAGTTACCAGACACTCAACTTGTTTGTTGGTGGTGGGGCTTAAAGAAAAGGCACTAGCGTCACCCAGTGTATGAGCGTCTTTTTCCCTTGAGGAGCTCTCCGCTCTAGAAGCCTATGAGAAATGCATACACTGGGGGAAAATAGCCCCGCCTTCCCGCAGGCTGCAGCGGGATGTACTTGGAAAATTGTACCATAAAACCACACAGCGTTAATCTCACGTTAAAAAAATTATCGCAGTTAAAATGGCCTCGCGTTAACGCGATAATAACGCGATAATTTTGACAGCACTATATATAATATAATATAATATATATGTATTATATATATAATACATACATACATACACACACACACACACACACACACACACACACACTACAGAATAAAAGATATATTAATTGAAGCATATGGCTCAACATTCTGACCGAAACTCAACCTATTTTTTTAGACTCTAGGGGTCTTTTCAAAACACACGCCACTACAAATTTCAAAATAAAGGTCTTTCATTTACACTTTAATATAGTATCTTTTGACCTAATACCAGGGAAAAAGGAAAGGGAAAAAGAGTGATTTCAATAATGGAAATGGATTCTATATCACTGCCGACTCTGAACCTTTTCTTAAAACACACTGCTACAAACTCCCTGCGACACCAGGGAGTCTACAAAATAAAAGCCTCTCATTATTCACACTAATTCATTGTGCGTTCAGCACAAACAGCAAGCTGACAACACCAGACTACACAAGGTGATGGAAAACACAGTGGTTTATCAAACTTTATCAAAACCTCTCTTTATACGGTCCAAGAAGGACAGTCTGTATCTATAAGCTTGATCTAGGGCTTAAACTAACTATTATTTTGCAAATTGCTTCATGTTTTTATTATTGTTTAGATTAATCAATAAATAATTGGATAGCCAAAAAAAAAATGTTTAGGAAAATAAACCAGGTGAAACTAAAACTTTCCACTGAAGGACTTCTCGTTAGAGCACATTATAATCTTGGCTTAATTACTGCTCTAAGTAGGCCATTCTGTCAGTTAAAAGCATGTTTTAATGTCTCTATACCAGAAGTGGCTGGCCAATAGAGGGTGCTAGGGCCCCGCCCCACCCACCCAATGATCCCGATTAAGACATAAGAAAGATTAAAAAACAAAAAAACAATTTAATTTTAAATTAAAATGTAAAATATTTTGAAATATATTATTATATAATTTTTACATGCACAAGATAAATATTTAATCTTTAATGACTAGCAAAGTGTCAAGCCTAATTTCACCGGATTGGTGACATACTTCCTCCCTAGGGCGCAAAAATCTTTGGCCACTGAATTTCATTAAAAGTTGGACATGCACAGTTGCTCCTCTGTTATAAAAGGTATAAGAGAGCTCAGAGCCAAGCTGCGATCTGAGGTGACCGGAAGTGTATTTGCTCACCGCCTCCCGCCACAGCACAGACGCCAAGGCTAGGCTAACTGCATGCAGCGAGGCTAGTGCTTTTTTCTGCTTTCCCTGCCTCCTTTTTCAAATGTCAGGATCTGGCCCAGCATGGATAAAGACAGCTAGGACTGATTTAAAGCACTTTGTAGATAAAGCAAAGAAGAATGAACAATCTGGGATTCACATGGAATATAATATACCATCGTCTACTTTTTTTAGATGTTAATGTTAATTTGCATAGTTGCTCTTAAATAAACACATTCTCAGAAAATAAATAGATTTTTTAAAAGATATAAGGCTGATTAATAGCTTCTCTGTTATTAAGCTGGTACATTATTTTTTGTAGCTTTTTCAAACAATATTGGATCATGCAAAACACAGATTTCTCACAAAGCCTCAGAAGGGCAAGATTTATGTACAAAAAGGAAACCTGTACATGAAATTATGTTTTGTTTTTATAATGTTTATTGTTGTTGGCATTCATATAAATATACTGGTGTGATAACTTAGTATATGTTTGATTGGTTTTTGGTATAAGTCCATTTTGAATTTTTGCACCCCCATTGAGAAAACTCCACCAGCCGCCACTGCTCTATACTCTAGAAAACGATTAATCAATTACTAAAATAGTTGACAATTATTTCAATAATCGATCAATCTGATCAGTTGTTTTAGCCCCAGCTAAATCATGGGAGGCCTCTAGATCAGGGGTAGCCAATTAAAAATCAGTGGGGTCTGAATAAAGAAAAACATCAACCAGTAAAGGTCCAGAGACATTTTTAATAATAATCTGTTACTTTAAACAGAATTTAAAACTAAAATAAAATTAGGTTTTTATGCATTCATGTTATACATTGAATTTTTAAATAAAAAACTATATAAAAAAGAAGAACATTTTTCCATTTTGACATCTAAAGGGTTTTTTGAAGTAGAGAACAATAATCGTTCAGTTTGGTATACAGACAATTTCCTGGTTCACATATTTTATAAAACACCTGAACTGACCATTTGTTTTTTTTTTTTTTCTGTCTTAATGTTGGCAGTGGGCTTTATGCTGCCCTGCAAGGCTTTAAACCTGGGTTTGAATAGAGACTAAGCCATTCTAAAGCCATTCCAGTATCATTTGTGAGCTTATATATTCCCAAAAACTAAGATCGTTTAATTAAATGACTAGATGCAAACTACTTCAACATACCAGGAAGCAGATTTATCATCTCAATCAAAATATTTATTTTATACTAAAAGGCTTAAAAGTTTAATCAAATCCAGTCAAAACGGAAAAGAGCTCCTCTCACAACTTCAAAAGAAACTTCTCATCTCAGCTATGGATAAAGAGATGCTGAGTTTGGAAGCAGAGATCAAACATAGTTCATACAAACCATGGATGATCCTAATTACAAAAGTCCACAACAAAACTGAACATATGCTGGATGCTGATTTTTTATTATTATGTCATATTAAATTAAGCTTTTATTTCTGCATGTTTTGCTCCTATGAAGTTAATAAGAGGAAGTTGGAGCGCAGCAATACGGGAGGAACAGCGGAGGCTATAGGCACTGCTTTGCACAGGAGGTCTGGAGCGCAGCGGGGCGGAGCAGAGATGGAGGATGTAGGATTTCGGGGTTAGACACCGTCGTCGGACAACATGCAGTAATTTATAAATGTCTTAAATGTGTTTGGGTCCAGATTAGCCAGCAGGTGGGTCCGGATTCGGACCGCGGTCCATTAGTCCGTGACCTCTGGTCTTTATGTTTACCCCCATCAGCGGGAGCTGCTGGTTGCCCGCCATGTTTTTCCATGCAAATCCGTCCGCGTAGTTACAAATCTTCAAATGTGTGCCATGTGGACGTCAATACTTGTTTTTGATCACAGCATTTAACTTACTGTACGATGAGCCTTAACAAGTTTGGCTGGGACTGGATCTCCTGGATGGCATAGAGCTCCTTCAGACTGAACTCCTCTCCTCCTGTTCGATCTTCCCTGGAACCTCCAGACTCATCGCCTCCTGATTTGGAAAGCTTACCTAAACATTAGATCCATGTACATTTATCTGCACGCTTGGAGAGAAATCTGACACCAATGAGAAAGGTGTGTGATGCTCGTTACCTTTGCTGTTACTGACTGAAATAGCCTCAATGTAGAGGAGAAACATGCACTGGTCTTTATTTCCCCTGGTAGTACCTGCAATCAGAAAGCAGATGGTTAAACTGTGTGGGCGGAGTGATTGATCTTATGTATAGTTTGGTCTGATTTGTTACTCTCCTCTATACAGGTGCTGGTCATAAAATTAGAATATCATGAAAAAGTAGATTGATTTCAGTAATTCCATTTAAAAAGTGAAACTTGTATATTATATTCATACATTACATACAAACTCATATATTTCAGATGTTTATTTTGTTTAATTTTGATGATTACAAATGACAACAAATGAAAATCCCAAATTCATCATATCAGAAAATTAGAATATTACTGAAGACCAATAAAAACAAAGGATTTATAGAAATGTTGGCCAACTGAAAAGTATGAACATGAAAAGTATGAGCATGTACAGCACTCAGTATTTAGTTGGGCCTCCTTTGGCCTGTATTACTGCAGCAATGCGGCGTGGCATGGAGTCGATCAGTCTGTGGCACTGCTCAGGTGTTATGATAGCCCAGGTTGCTCTAATAGTGGCTTTTAGCTCTTCTGAATTGTTGGGTCTGGTGTATTGCATCTTCTTCTTTACAATACCCCATAGATTTTCTATGGGGTTAAGGTCAGGAGAGTTTGCTGGCCAATTAAGAACAGGGATACCATGGTCCTTCAACCAGGTACTGGTAGCTTTGGCACTGTGTGCAGGTGCCAAGTCCTGTTGGAAAATGAAATCTGCATCTCCAAAAAGTTGGTGAGCTGCAGGAAGCATGAAGTGCTCTAAAATTTCCTGGTATGTGGCTGCGTTGACCCTGGACCTCAGAAAACACAATGGACCAACACCAGCAGATGACATGGCACCCCAAACCATCACTGACTGTGGAAACTTTACACTGGACTTCAAGCAACGTGGATGAAGTGCCTCTCTTCTTTTCCTCCAGACTCTGGGACCTTGATTTCCAAAGGAAATGCAAAATTTACTTTCATCAGAGAACATGACTTTGGACCACTCACCAGCAGTCCAGTCCTGTTTCTCTTTAGCCCAGGCAAGACGCTTCTGACGCTGTCTGTGGTTCAAGAGTGGCTTGACACAAGGAATGCGACAGCAGAAACCCATGTCTTTCATACGTCTGTGTGTGGTGGTTCTTGAAGCACTCACTCCAGCTGCAGTCCACTCTTTGTGAATCTCCCCCACATTTTTGAAGGGGTTTTGTTTCACAATCCTCTCCAGGGTGCGGTTATCTCTCTTGCTTGTACACTTTTTTCGACCACATCTTTTCCTTCCCTTCGCCTCTCTATTAATGTGCTTGGACACTGAGCTCTGTGAACAGCCAGCCTCTTTAGCGATGACCTTTTGTGTCTTGCCCTCCTTGTGCAAGGTGTCGATGGTCGTCTTTTGGACAACTGTCAAGTCAGCAGTCTTCCCCATGATTGTGTAGCCTATAGAACTAGACTGAAAGACCATTTAAAGGCTTTTGCAGGTGGTTTGAGTTAATTAGCTGATTAGAGTGTGGCACCAGGGGCCATCAATTTTGAACCTTTTCACAATATTCTAATTTTCTGATATGATGAATTTGAGATTTTCATTTGTTGTCATTTGTAATCATCAAAATTAAACAAAATAAACATCTGAAATATATGAGTTTGTATGTAATGTATGAATATAATATACAAGTTTCACTTTTTAAATGGAATTACTGAAATCAATCTACTTTTTCATGATATTCTAATTTTATGACCAGCACCTGTAGGGTGCAGAGGTTTCCTTATCATTAGCTCCAACTATGATCACATATTGATTAGCATGCTAGTACCGTCGTTAATAACTCTGACTATCCCTGTGACAGTGACGGTGTCTCCAGGGACGCAGCTGTCGCAGAGGTCAGAGGTCAGGTGGCACTCCACAGTGCGAGGGATTCGTCCAGTCTCCCTCTGCTCGCCGCCCACCAACTCCTGCACCCTGCAGAGGCGGGATTTCAAAGAGCTCAACCAACAGGCTGGAGATTGATTAGCATTTATTGTTAGATTTCCTGTTGGGCTTCAAAACATTAAAAAAATCAGAAATGAAACTTGTAAAAAAAAATGATCACAAAAGGTTCTGGGAGCAACTTTGCTCTTTTCTCTTATTTTAACAATTTTAAAAAATATATATTTTATTTATTTTGATTTTTTCAAACATATTTTTATTTTTTACAACTGGCAGCTGATTATTTTCTGTCTTTAATGGTAGGGTATGTAAACTTTCAGGCACTACTTATTTTCAGTTTTCAGTTGGACATAAATCAAACATACAGTTTTTGCAACAAGCTCACTGTGACACTGCTGCGGGATCTAATCAGCCCTTTAGGGCGCTACAGTTGGATCGGCTAGCATTGCTAGCTTCAAGCTACGAAATCTCAGGCCGCGCATATACGTGTAAGCAGCCATCGTAGGACAACATTTTACGACTCTTGGCTCTGCAACACCTCTTAGCATATTTTAGCATTCATGAAAAACTAATGTTTATGTATGTAGTTGTAAATATATATGTGTTGGGAAAAAAACCAAACCATTAAACAGTCATACCACCAAATCTTGTACTTGTGTTTGCTCTGACAATGTGAACAATGTGTCAATGTGTTCAGAAAGTGGCAGCATATTGTCAGATTATTAAGTAAATTGTGTCTGCTAAGCATTAGCCTAGCCGGTTTGAAGTAGGCTAGGTAATGTCATCCAATGTCCTTTCAAAAACGAAAGAAAAACATAGGTGACTTTAACCATTTTAATTTCTTTTTTTTATAAATTGCTTTTGGATTAAATTAAAATTGAATGTGTGATATATAAATTCAGGTGCCTGTTTTACTGGCATAACACTTCAATGTGGCATATGCCATTTTTCAAAACTAGCCTGCAAGATATTACTTTTGGCACTCGCTGTCACTCAAATATTCAATTCTTAAAAACTGTATGTAGCTTTAGGTTTGGTTAAGTCAGCTCTGCGCATCAAGGTTTCCCCCCCAGCAGCTGCAAGTTCTATGAAGGATTAAGGCTGATTTATACTCGGAAACCAGGTTGTCTGCGTGTGTGTCAAAGTTAACACAGAGACCCCCCCTACCAATCCCCCCCCTTCGGCAGACACTGTGCTGCACCTCTCCAAAATTGTAGGTGACCGCAGACAGGCAGCCTCTGATTGGTCAAATCTACATCTGCTCTACACATCATGTATTTCCTGTTTGGTACTTTACCGGCTTGTTTTGTTTGTATGACCGCCATTGTGGAAAACAACTTGTGAAGAAGGACCAGCTAGATGAGCGAGGTGCGCAAGAACGCTGGGACCCTTTTTCCAGCTGGATCCCCGCTCTTTTTGGCCCTCATGTCCCTCCGTCGTCACACAAACTTGCCCCCACTTCCTCACCGCCTCCGCTGTATCTAGACCCACAGCTAGTTCCTGATCGTCCCTCTTGCGTTGTGGCGTGGAATAACATAGCGCAGACCACGCTTCAATATTGGGCATAAATCAAAAATATCTGCGACCTGCTGCTGGAGTATAACCTGCCCTTAAAACCTTAATTTTGCTCTGCAGAGAATATGATCAGCATAGACTTACTTGATGATTTGCCAGTCTACTGTTTTTGTAAAGGGAGAACTGCGAAGGGGGATGAAGGTACGAGCTCGACATCCAGGCTGGGAACACTGTGATAAAACACACAAAAAATGTCAGGATATGCTGTCTTTGTAGTCAAAACAGAACAGAACTATAAGCAAGGAGTGATTTGGATGAATAAGCCCTTATTAAATAGCTTTCATTAATAGTAAATCTTTTAGAGCTTTATATGAAGTTGCAATCACAACTTTTTTAAATGAGGGGAACAGGTGAGAATGTTCCAACTAATGGAGAGATCCTATACAGGGCGGCTCACTCTGGACGTTAAAACTGTTTCGGGCTAAAAACAAGTATTTGAACTGTAAATTTAAAAAAAAACAACAACTTTGTAATCCAGAAATTAAACTTTGAAAAACTTCCTATAAAAGGTAACTTTAATAACTTTGCTGTTTCATTAGATTTTAAATTTTCAAATTATTATTTCTTACACATTTAATTTTTATTTCTTTCAAACATTATTCTTTTAACAATGTTATATTTTAAATTTTTTTCTCTTTTTCAGATAGATTTTTTTTATTTGTATAGCTAAATCCGAAAAAGAAAAAAACGTAAATTTTTTAAATTACATTTTACTTCCAATACATTAAAAAAAATAAAAGAGAGAAAAAAACAATCAATCCAAAAAAAAAAAAAACTATGATTTTAGTTCACATATTGAAATTTATGGCGATTATGTAGGTTCTCTATTTATATTTTTTTTATTTAAATCTACTAACCAAAGGGTAAATTCTCAGAAATAAAGCCAAAATTGTCAAAGTAGAAAGAAGAATGTTTAAATGTAAAAAACTTAATCAATCCGAATAAAAAAAAATATATTATTTTATTATTTTTTATTAAAATAATTTAAAAAACTTCAATCTTATAAAATAGCAAAGTTACACTCATATCCTGTTTTTTGACTAAATTGTGACTAAATCTGCCTCGTGCTTCTGTTCTGAACATATGGCTTTAGGATCAACCAGGAGCAGTTCCATGCAAACACGTGGAACCAGTTAAATCTGATATATTTGACTTTTTTTTATTTTTTATAAAGCATTTAAATGCCATGATAATCACATTTAATTAATTTTAATGCCAATTAAGGCCTTAATTTAAAAAATAATACTTTAATGACTTTTAATGATGGGCAGAAACCCTGAGACTGCTTTGATCCAGTTGAACTTTCTGAGTTAGCAAAATTATTGTCTTCATCTAAGCCTTCAACTTGTATGTTAGATCCAGTTCCAACCAGGTTATTTAAGGTGGTATTCCCTTTGATCTCCTCCTACATTTTAGATGTGATTAATCTATCTCTGTTACAGGGATATGTACCTAAAGATTTTAAGGTTGCTGTAATTAAACCTCTGCTTAAGAAACCGTCTCTTGACCGAGATGACTTGGTCAATTATAGACCTATATCCAATCTTCATTTCTTATCTAAAATTTTTGAGAAAGTAGTTGCCAAACAAATTTGCGATCACTTCCACCATAATGAACTTTTTGAAGAGTTTCAGTCTGGCTTTAGAGCTCATCATAGCACTGAAACAGCTCTGGTGAAAGTCACTAATGATATTCTCATGGCCTCAGATAATGGACTTGTATCTGTGCTCGTCCTGTTGGATCTTAGTGCTGCTTTTGATACAGTTGACCATAATATTCTTTTAGAAAGACTTGAATATTTTGTTGGAATTAAAGGAACAGCACTAGACTGGTTTAAATCGTATCTATCTGATCGAATTCAGTTTGTTCATGTTAATGACTGATCTTCCTCACGCTCAAAGGTTACCTGTGGAGTACCACAGGGATCAGTGCTAGGACCAATTCTCTTTACTTTATACATGCTCCCAATTGGTAGAATTATTAGACAGCATGGGATTAATTTCCACTGTTATGCTGATGATACCCAGCTATATCTGGCTATAAATCCAGATGAAGCTAACCCATTACATAGATTACAGGCATGTCTTGAAGACATAAAAACCTGGATGACTCTTAACTTTCTGCTTCTGAATCCAGACAAAACAGAAGTTATAGTCTTTGGACCAGAGTCTCTGAAAAATAAGCTGATTAGCCAGTCACTTCATTTGGATGGGATTAAACTGATTTCAGATAATAAAGTAAAAAATCTTGGTGTTTTTTTTTTATCAGGACCTGTCATTTAAATCCCATATCAAAGAGGTTTCTAGAATTTCCTTATTTAATCTGAGGAATATTGCAAAAATAAGAAATCTCTTGTCCAGGGGTGATGCTGAGAAACTAGTCCATGCATTTGTTACTTCAAGGCTGGACTATTGTAATTCTTTACTATCAGGAAGTCCACAAACTGTAGTTAAAAGCCTTCAGCTGATCCAAAATGCTGCAGCCAGAGTTCTGATGAAAATTAAAAAGAGAGATCATATCTCTCCTATCCTGGCTTCTCTTCATTGGCTTCCTGTTAAATCAAGAATAGAATTTAAAATCCTCCTACTCACATATAAAGCCTTAAATGGCCAAGCTCCATCTGATATCAGAGATCTGATTGTTCCTTATGTTCCTAACAGAGCACTTCGCTCTCAATCTGCAGGTTTACTAGTGGTTCCTAGAATTTCTAAAAGTAGAATGGGAGGCAGATCGTTTAGTTATCAGGCTCCTCTCCTGTGGAACCAACTACCAGTTTTAGTCCGTGAGGCAGACACCCTGTCTACTTTTAAGGCTAGACTTAAAACTTTCCTTTTTGATAACGCTTATAGTTAGAGTGGCTCAGGTTACCCTGAGCTATCTCTATATTTATGCTGCTATAGGCTTAGACTGCTGGAGGACATGGGGACCCCTATTTTATCATTCTCTCTCTATTCTCCCACTCTGCAGAATCTGTTAGTTCAATCTCTAACGTTCTGCTTTCTCTGTTTTTTCTCATAGTAGCTTCATCTGGTCTGTTCCTGTTTGGCTGTGACTCCATCCTGGAGAGAAATATCAGCTGTGCTGCTGCCATCAACACCTTTGTTTATAGATGTTGGAGATCGGCCTGTTTTCCAGTGTAGTCCTGTTTCTCTGACCATGACTAACTGGATGTGCTCTCTTCATCCTCTGACATGGGAGCTGCCTCAGAGCTCGTCTGCCTGGCTGTGTGTTTCCTCGACGGGGCCGCCTTTTACAGCTTCTTTTTGTATCTCTGCTTCTGTCTCCTTGAACCCCAGTCAGCCTCAGCAGATGGCCGCTCACACTGAGCCTGGTTCTGCTGGAGGTTTCTTCCTGTTAAAAGGGAGTTTTTCCTCTCCACTGTCGCTACAAGCATGCTTAGTGTGGGGGATTGCTGAAGAGTCGATGAGTTGATGCAACCAACTGTTTTTCCTTAGACAGAAAACTTTGAATCAGTTTGACTGTATGATGTGGTGAACTGGAAAGTGTCTAGAGATGACGTGTTGTGAATTGGCGCTATAGAAATAAACTGAATTTAATTGAGTTAATAGTTTTCCTCCTGAAGACCAAAACTAAGACTAAAACTAAGATGGCTGCCAGAAACAACACTGGTGTGCACGTACTTTGCTGGGTGTCGCATATTTCCCGTGCTGCAGTGGTATGGTCAGAGTGCCGCCACAGATCTGGCACTTGAACGCCATCCTGGTGCACTGAGGTCTGATGCTGCTCACTCGGACTACGGTTCCTCTAACACACACCAGCCGGCCGAACACGCTGGCTCGCAGAGTCCGCAGAGGAGTGAGTGGCTCGTAGTTATACAACCTGTGAATGAGGGGGGGGGGGAGTCAGCTGGTGCCCAGAGAACAACATCCCGTTCTGTACGGCGCTCATTACCTTACGCTGATATGAGGAATATTGATGATGGGTGCGGTGACGGGAAGCTCATCGTCTTGGAGCTCAGCAGCTTGTTTTTCCAAATCTGCGGTCAACACCTGAATCAGAGAAACCATTTAGCCGGACATGTGACACCCAGCTCGCCCACTTCACAGATACGCCCATTTCCAGTTCCATGAAATCCAGCTTTGACATTAAACTTTCCATTCTAATTTAAAGAAGATCTTTTATCTATGGAAAGAATTTTGTTCTTTATTGTTTCAGGCAAAAAACATGTTTTGTAAATAGAAAAAAAAATGCAATTTAGAAATAACTTTGAAAAACTTTAATTATTATTTTTTACTATCATCATATTTAATTTAAGTTTGACTCTCTGGCATGGGAGATATCCATCCATCCATCCATCCATCCATCCATCCATCCATCCATCCATCCATCCATCCATCCATCCATCCATCCATCCATCCATCCATGATTAATATAAATCTATTCCTTGCGTGATGATTTTCTTTTGTTTTGGTTGTTTTTGTGTTTTCTATATTGCAAAACGGTGAATTCTTCATAAAAGGTCCCCTTTAACATTAGATTTCTGTTTTTACCTGATGAATGGCCACTCCCAGACAGTTCAGCATGACCTCTGGCTGCTCCTGCAGGTCAGCCACGATATCAGAGAGCGCTTCACGCACACGTTGGTCCCCAATTAAATCTGTGTAATCCACCAGCACGCTGCCCTGACGCTCAATCTCATCCTAAAGAGAAACACAGCCGTCCTTTTTACTGACCAGTCACTAAGACGCTCCTATAGCCTAGAAGGCTCGGATGTATGACATCTTCTACCAGCAGTTTTCTAAACACTCACTGACCTTATCATACAGGTGGATCCGAGAAGTGAAGTATTTCTCAAACACTTTGATCTTCTCCACACTGGGGGAGCTCTCTATGAAACCTTAGCATGGATCAAAAGAATCAAAGATTAGAAAATAATAAATTGTGTAAATATTGTCCAGTTACTGTGAGGTAAGGCACAGTATGAAACTAGTTCTAAAAAAGTTCACCTCTTTTCCATCTTCCATCTGGGTTATAGTGTTTATTACTGTTCGCACTGTTTATTTCAATCAATCAATCAGTGTTTGCATCGGTTGTCTGTAGTATGGCACTGCTATCACTATGATCACTACTATGGGGTCTAGGAATTGTGAAATGTTTGTTTTCCAAGAGAATAAGAGTTTTTCTGAAGGCCGAAGGACATTGGGGAGGCTGCTGGGAGGAATCTAGGTGCCAAATGCAGTTGTCAAAACATTTAAAGGAAAAGTCCGCTCACATTCAGAATTCAAACTTCAGAAAGTACTAAACATGAAATTATTACGTCCTGTTCAATAAATGTGTTTTTAATTTAGAGTAATTTTCATTTGAATGTGCTTTACTGGAGGCATCCATGTTTGTCAAAGAACACTACTGCCACCTACTGGTTTGTGACGTCATGGTGCGGTATCGGCTGTTGATCAAGTCCCAGATAAACGGCAAATGCGGGAAGCTTAAGTGTTTAAAAAGTTTGATCTGATAAACATGTCTAACCCAGAAATCCCACATCCTCCATCACCGCTCTGTTGCGCCCCAGACCTCCTGCGCAAAGCAGCACCTACAGCCTTCTCTGTTCCTCCCGTCTAGCTGCGCTACGACTTCCTCTGAGCTCGAGGACAGCATGCGCCATATTATTATTAAATTCATAGAAGTAAAATATGCAGAAATAAACGCTTAATTTAATGACACATTACAAAAAAATCCCCATCAGCATCGAGCATATGCTCAGTTTCTGCCCAAATATTTTCTTTTTGTTGTGGATTTTTGTAACAGGGATAACTAGGATCATATTCATTTGCTTTTTATGAGCTTCCTGGTCTGTTGAAGGATCAATAATTTGCATCTAAACATTTAATTTAATGGTCTTATTTTATGGAAATATATAAGAATTATGCTATAATTTAATTTGCAGTTACCGATCTGTCTAGGGCTGCAACTAACGATTATCTTAAAAATCGATGAATCGGCCGATTATTTTTTCAATTGATGGATGAATCGGACAAAAAATATTTTTTATATTAACCTCTTTATTCCAAAATAAACATTTTAGACAGAACAAACAAGCACACAAGTACAGGTTGCTCATTAACTGTTCTGGTGCAATATGAAAAATAAATGTTTGTGTTAAAACTACGCAAACTTACATGAGAAATGTAGCTGTACATCCACAAAATATAGGCTACTTTGTTTCATAAAGTGCATAAAAAGACATTTTTGTTTTTAAAAGCCCCTAAGGGGTTCAAACAATAGGTCCCCCCATTTCAACAAATGAGTTTTTTTTTAGACTAGAAGAGTTCTGCCTTTTAAGACAGGAAAGTATAGCAGTTAAAGTTGCTACTTGAGAAAATACTGAACCATAGAGATAAAAATAGCCCTGTGATTCAAATTATAAATTGTATTTGGAATAAAAATGAGAGAACTAGGGGTGCTAAAAAACACATCCTCCAAAGACAGATATTTACATGGGAATGTGGCAGATAATTAATTGACATTACTGATCTTGCTGGATTTTATTCTGCTTTACTTCCATAAATTGCACGATCTTTACTTTATCTTTGCCAGAAGATTTAAACTTTAAAAGCCTTGCCCTCATAATTTGCAAGTTAACTTATTTATAAATATAAATGCTGCTTAAGCTAATTCAAATGAAATTAAAAGTAAAATCAGTAGCCAACCTTATCACTGTCTGTAACCTACTAACACGGTAAGGAAAGCATCAGATGAGCTACCTGAGAAACTAACGTTACGTTTCCCCACTTTAAAACCAAACAAACATGGTGGTTCCGTGCCATGTTAATTTGTTTTGACAAAAGTTGCATGTTACGACTTTTTTCACTTTACAAAGCGCAGGCTATTTTAATTATTGTGATCAATTTGCGCCGTCAATCCTGGCGCATGCGCGCTTCATTTGCAGTCTGGACGCTGAGGGTTAACATCCTGCGGCTCTGACTGCAGCGCTGAGAGGGACTCCTGCGGGAGAACGGGGTTGGGATGGGGGAGGCGCCCCACGGCAGAGTAGGAACGATACATGCTTTCATGTAAGAGTCTCCAAAAGCCGCCAGTGACACCGAAAAAAGTCGCCAAATTTGTCGCTAGTCGCTTTTTTGAAAAATAGTCGCTGGAGGGGTCTGAAAAGTCGCTGAGTTGGCAACACTGCACCTGCGGCGCTGGCTCGCTCTGCCGTATTTTTTCTTCTTCCCCCGCTTCAGTCAAGTGGATGTGATGACGGCGGCGGCGGATGACGCATTAATCGCACGACACAACTAATCGATGATGAAATTCCTTGCCAACGCTTTTAAAAGTCGATTTTTATCGATTTTATCGATTCGTTGTTGCAGCCCTAGATCTGTTGTTACTATATTTTAAATTGACAAACCAGATCTTCTCGCCGTTCTTTTTCCTGTTTGGTGCGATTGCAATTGTGTATCTTCACCTGACCTGACCGGAGCGGAGCGGAGCAGGGGAAAAAAAATGTCTCGGCTCTGTATTTTGACGGTGAAGGACGGAGAGGACGTACGTAGACGGTAATGTGCGGAGGACTAGTGGTGGATGTGGAACAGCTCTCGTTGATTAACATGACAGACGAGTGCTCCGCAGGACGTATGTCTGACATGTTAATCATGACAGATTAACATGTCAGCCTAGATTCCACATAGGCTGACGGAGTATGTGGAATCTGGGGGTAATACTGTGTAAGAAAACATTGTTTATTCAGTCAGTCAGTCTGGCACAATGAATAGGTAAAATATAACGACGTACATAGAATATTGTAAACAAATATTCAGCCCTTCATTTTATGGAAAGATTCTCTTGATATGAGAGAAAATGGCTGCCTGTCATAAAATAAGGTATTTTTTAGTAACTGAGCAACAACAAAATACAAAGATAACAGCAGGATCTCGTAGAGAAACTTTGTTTCTTACGTATAAATTTGAAAAGTCTTATGATGCGATTATGCCCCTTTATTCGGGACGCTTACGCTCACTGCAGGTCCTTATCATGGCTTCTAATATTTTTATCTTACTGAGGTAAAAGTTTAAAGCTACTTTCAAACCGTCCCACACCTCAAATTGGACACGTGCATTTTAAAGTCAGATGCTCCGATCATTGGGCTACTCTGTTCGTTTCCTGTCCATCTATAGAGCGACTTGGCTTTATTTGCCATATTAGCTGGACAAAGTGTTCAATTTGATTCAGTTTATTTCTATCGGTCCAATTCACAACACACGTCATCTTTACAGTTCAATCAGATCATCAGATTGAATCAGTTTTCTATCTAAGGAAAGCTGATTGCATCGACTCATTGACTCAAAGTCAATCCCTCACACTAAGCATTGCAGACAGCTGCTGAATCAGCCTCTCTGATTGGTTGACAATTAGCATTCAGCTGCAACAGTTCAGATTTCCTCTTTTCAGCACTGAACAAAATAAAAAATAAAATTTTTGGCATTTACTTAATCATATTTAGTTACTTTAGCACAATTGTTTTATGTCCTAGCCTGCTAACATGAAACAATTGTGTTGAAGTAACTAAATATGATGCCAAAAACAGATGCATTATTTATTTCAGTGTGTTTCTGCTGCCCTAAAAAACGTTTATCAAGTTTTCATGCTGGTGGAGATCCTCTGTCATCCAGGTCAAAGTCATTTCAAAAAGTTAAGATGGGGCAACAAAACACCTCGCCAGGTCAGCCAGGCCATCAGTGACCCATAACGCCTGCCTTTTCAGAGGAATGGGCCAGTATCGGGTATTCTAGGCCAATAACGACCTCAACGACTCTCATTATTAAGGGGAGGAGCTGGTTTTCCAGTTTCAATGTGCATGTTTTCTAATCCATTACGAGGCTTTTGTTGGGCTACTCTATAAAAGCCTGGAACTCAATCAGGGTTCCTACAGCATAAGGCAAGTTAAATTCAAGACTTTTTAAGACTTTTTAATGCCACTTGAAATAAAAATTTAAGACCAAATTCACAAGAAACACAAGAAAAACCTGCTTGCGACAACTTAACCCAAAGGTTTTATTTTAACATAAACCACTGCACTAATGTTTCAAATTTTGAAAAACGTCCCATTCAGGAAGAAAGCTAAAAACAAACAAATGACAGATATATTTTAACAATTATTTAACTGAATTCACAAACTTTGTTTTAGCAGGGAACAAAACAAATCAGTTTTAAAGCCACAACATAACCAGTGCTAAGTCTTTTTTGCAGCTATTTTTCTTTGTATGGTTTTCTTAGTATGTTTGATTTGGTGATAAGTGGAGGCGTTGCAGAGACAAGGGTGGAACTAAACTGAGAAATACCGGCTGTTTCTCGGTAACTCCATTTTGACGCTTTGTGTTTCGTGCTTCGCATGTGTGACTCCACTGCCTTAATTCCCATCGTTCCGAGTTTGAATCGCTTCTTGCACAAAATCCACTGAGCCTCATGTATGTTCCCTGGTTTTAGCCATGGAGAAAACTCTTGATTGGAGACAATTTTGGTTACATTTACACTTGCTCATATTTTCAGACAAAAAGTTAATGATGCATCTCCCAAACGTCCCGGCCGCAACAACGCTTTTATTGGTTCCGCTATCGGGACGGAACCAATAATGGCGAGCTGTTATTTTTTTTAAATAAAAAAAAAAAAGGTAAATTTTAATGTTTTATTTAAATTACAAAAATAAATCATAATATTAATAATCCTATTTATGATGTTTTAAAAATTAGGACCTATGAAAGACTGATTTAAGACATTTTAATACCAATTAAGGCCTTAGTTTTATTTTGAAGAATTCAATGCCTTTTGAGACTTTTTAAGGACCCCTGTCAATGCCAATCCAGACATTTTGAATTGAAAAAGCTTCCTGGATGGGAAGCTAAACGTCTTCAAACTTGAAAAAAAAAAGTCCACTGGTTTGTTTGTTAAGTTTAACTTTTTGAAATTTATCAAGTTTTATTTATATTTTTGCAACATTCTACTGAAACATACCAAGTAGGAATACTTTGGTAGTGCATGAGTTAATGGAAACTTCTTAATGTTCAGATGATTTCATGTGTTCTGATGCCAAACCTACCTTGTGTAAAGTACAGAGCCCAGCCTTTGTAAGGACACAGCTCATCTAGAGTGGTCTGGATGGGAGCTGAGGGGAAAATAGAAGCGCAGCTGATAGATAACCAAGACCTGAGAGGATGTTTCATTAGTTTATGCCTGATAAAAATGATGACATGAGGTCTGAGTGAGAGCTCACCTCTCTGAGAGCTGACAGCTGGGCTCCCTGATCCTCCTCCTGCTGTTGCTGAACCACCTCTCCACGGTCTCCTCCCACTCCCACCTCCTATCCATCCACTCCCTCCTCCTCCTCTCCATCCACCCCCTCCTCCTCCTCTCCATCCACTCCCTCCTCCTCCTCCTCCTCTCCATCCACTCCCTCCTCCTCCTCCTCCTCTCCATCCACTCCCTCCACCTCCCCTCCATGCGTTACCAGATCCTCTCCCTCCATTGCTCCCTCCTCTCCATGAGCCCCTGGAGGAGCCCTCTGTACTCATCGTCTTGGAAAAAACTATATAAAAAGAAAAACAAGACAAGAAAATGGTCAGAAACAGGTTTCTCCAGCATATTTCAGGTTAGTGGGCTGCTACATAAGTTATCTTGCAGGGTTCTGTCCAGTGCATTTCAATGCAAACGCTGGTTGCACTGAAAGTTGTCGAAATGACACTGAAATAACTACACTGACTATTAGTGACGGGTCCAGCACCACCGCTGCGTCGGTGCACGCATCGAGCCCAGAGCAGCGGTAAGTAAATCGGCGGGGTCTGAATAAAGAAGATCATCAACCAGTAAAGGTCCGGAGACATTTTTTATTATAATCTGTTGCTTTAAACAGAACTTAACACTTAAAACTTAACTTAAAATAAGGTGTTAATACATCCATGTTATACATTCAATTTTTAAATGAAAATAAAAAAAAAGAAAATTTTTATATATATATATATATATATATATAATCTAAAGTGTTTCTTTAAGTAGAGAACAACAATCGTTCAGTTTGATATAAAGACAATTTCCTGATTCACATATTTTATAAAACACCTGAACTGTTTATTTTTTCTGTCTTAATGTTGGCAGTGGGCTTTCTGCTGCCCTGCAAGGCTTTAAACCTGGTTTGAATGGAGACTAAGCCATTCTAAAGCACATATCAAGGAGCTCATTCTGAGCCTGGATCCAGATTTACTGTTGATTCTGTTCATGGTGGAGAATCCTGCTTCACAGCAGCAGGTTGAGCCAAACATCCTCTAAATGTTCAGGGTCATCTTTGAGCACCATTTCACTTTTCTTTCACCAGTTCACCACAGTTCTTCCAGCAGTCCACACTTTCTCTGCTCTCTTTTTCTCATCATCTTCTCCTTCTTTCCCATCGCCCGGCTTGCCACAGGTTTGCCTGCTGTGTCTAAAAGTAGCAGCAGCAGCGACCCAGACTGACAGCAGCTCATAGGATCATTTGGATCACGTGCAGCCTGGAGCCGCACGCTCTGGAGGGCTTTACCGTATTAACAGGAGAAGCGGCGCAAGCAAAGTTGAACATGCAATAATTTATAAATGTTTTAAATCAGGTTGGGTCCAGATTAACCACCAGGTGGGTCTGGATCCAGGCCACGGTCCACTAATCCCTGACCTCTGACCTTCAGCAAAACCCTGTATCTGTGCGTGGGTCATTTCAAGAAAGTCATGTGACCGATACAGGAGTTGTTTCTAACTGACTAACTCACTAAACTGTGTTTACAAATCTACCTGTCAACATGATAGCATCTGCTAAAAAAAAGTCCCATCTTTTGCGGTTCATCAATAAAATAATCAAGAATTGTGGAGCAGCCTAAAAGGAACGTTTCAGCCGTTGTGTTTTTATTTTAATTTTCTCCTTGAGTCATCCTTTTCCTCTCGGTTATCACTCAACTTATTTGAATTAAAGTCAAATTCAAATTCACTCTTAGTTTATTTACTGTATTTACTTCACCTATTGTTTTAAAATTATAATTTAAAATCTTAGTCCACCAGCATCCTCATTCACATTTTCCCCAATATTATCACGTTATAATAAATGTTTAAATTATTTATTGGCTGCATCTAAAATATCAAAGATATTTTCAATTTAAGCATAGATATGAAATATTACAATATATATATATATATATATATATATATATATATATATATATATATATATATATATATATATATATATATATATATATATATATATATATAAAACCTACAATACCTTAAATTCTATGATTGTTCCTTGTCATCTAATTAATTCAGTTTATTTTGTCCAATAATCTGCCTGTAGTGTCTTTAAATGTCCAGCAGGTGTCAGTATTCTATGTGACAGCATCAACACAGCATCAATACAGTTTGGCTTCAAAATGCCTCCTTAACCATCACTACTGACTAATAATCAACGTGATGGCAGTGGAAACTGCTTTTAAACACATGTATGTCCTAATTTGCACATAAATGTAATAAAGGTTATGTGAAAACCTGAACCCAGCGCCCTGGTCTACAGTTAACAGGATGAATTAGAGCCAGAAATATCAGCTGGATCCCAACAGCGTCCGACCAAAGAAATTACCTTATTAAAATGATCAAAAATCCTGTAATACGTCCCTCATCTGGATAAAGCTATAGACTGTGAATTAAACGCCCGCGTTTTACCAATAGGATGTGTGACAAGGAAGATAAACAAGCACTTTGAAGTAGGACTAGTTTAAATTAGAGAAACTCATAGTAAACATCCGCGGCTGTTTATTTTACGATCACTCCGCATTTTCATAAAGGACGCTTCAAATGTTTATTTAGATGTCCCAAATAAGTTCATACCCTTTTATTTATAGGCGTCAGAAAGTCTACACTCCCCCGGAACTTCCTCTATGCCTTTTTATATGTTAGGTCAAGAAAAAAGACGATAAAGAATATAATAATGGCGCAATCATTTCTTAAGATGATGTAACGCCTTAAGAGTTTTTACTAATTTTAGTTCCACTGAGGTAATATAGTAATACGTTACGAAACCACGGTTATTACAGTTTTCTGACATAAAAATCTGAGAAAATAAATAAAATGTCATACATACCCTTTGGTTTTATTCAGTAATCCACTAAAATGCTCTGATAATCGACCGATAGCCATGAAGTATCATCCTTTCGTAAACGCTTCTCTAACCTGTGATGCTTACCAGCTGTTTAAGTTCCCTCCACTGACAACTAACCTCTTCTTCTGCTTCCTTTAATCACATCAGCTCAGAGTTCAGGGTGCTTTACTGCCCCCTAACGGATAGTAAAGCGCCGTATAATAAAAAACAGAACCCAAAACAGAGCGGTCTGCAGTAGTACCACAAGATTTACTGCCATCTAGTGGACACCAGGGGAACTACAGATACAGATTGTTTCGTCTATGACAATCCAGGACTTCAATCAAATTTCTGACGATGAAATCAAAGAAATCCTTATTCTTAAAGCTACTTTCCTTTAGTAGAATTAACTTAAAACATGTTTCAGTCTTGTAAAACGGATTTGAGTCTTAAAATATAATGACTAAATGTGATCACCATGTTTACATTTTATCACTGCTGGACTTTAAGAAATTGAAAGAGCTGTAATGAATGAAATTTTGTTCTGTATACACTCTGTGTGTATAGAATGACAGTCAGTCAAGTTTGTCTAAGTCTAAGTCTAAATGAAAGACTTAGATAACTTTTATTGTCATTTTGTTTACACAGTGTATACAAAACGAAATTTCCTTTTGTACAGCTTTCATAAAGTGGAGCAGTGATGAAATGTAAATAGTGTGGGAGAAATAAACATGGCACAAAACAATTGATATGGAAGTTCAGAGCATTAAATGTTACATTCAATTCAGTTTATTTCTATAACGGTAATTCACAATACATGTCATCTTAAGACTGTTTACAGAGAAAATTCGACCAGATAATCCAGTCAAATTGAGTCAAAGTTTTCTATGTAAGGAAAACCAGCTGATTGCATCAACTCATTGACTCGAAGGCAATCCCTCACACTGAACATGCTTAAAGTGACAGTGGGGAGGAAAAACTCCCTTTTAACAGGAAGAAACCTCCAGCAGAACCAGACACCTGGACACCTGTTTCCTGGATGGGGCAGCCTTTTACAGTTGCCTTTTCTATCTCATCTTCTGTCTCCTTGAAGCCCAGTCGGCCTCGGCAGATGGCCGCTCACACTGAGCCTGGTTCTGCTGGGGGTTTCTTCCTGTTAAAAGGGAGTTTTTCATCTCCACTGTCACTACAAGCAGTGCTGGGCACGTTACTTTGAAAAAGTAATTAGTTATAGTTACTTCTCCCAAAAAGTAACTGAGTTACTAACTGAGTTACTCCACAATAAAAGTAACTAGTTACTAGTAAAAGTAACAATTGCGTTACTTTTGCATTTCTCACCCTCACCACCCAGCCCCCACCTTCTTGCCGTGTGTTTCCAAAGCCAGCTGAATAGAGCGGACGACAAAGACAAGAACCTGCAGAGAGTTTAGCATTTATTGCAACTCAATGTAAATGACATCAGGGGGGAACGATATCTGACGGGGTTTATAGGCCCGTCAGATAGCGTTCCCCCTGCTTAATATGTGGGGAACTCTATCTGATGTGGTGTAAATATCATCAGGCTGCATTACCCCTACTCATGGATGTGAAGTTTTTTAACAGGGCATTCAGATATGGTGAGTGTATGAAATTAATAACTGGGGATGTCTGATTCTGAAATCCTGTGTGTTTGGGTTGTTATAGATACTGCAACATCTATCTATCTATCTATCTATCTATCTATCTATCTATCTATCTATCTATCTATCTATCTATCTATCTATCTATCTATCTATCTATCTATCTATCTATCTATCTATCTATCTATCTATCTATCTATCTATCCATCCATCCATCCATCCATCATCCATCCATCCATCCATCCATCCATCATCCATCCATCATCCATCCATCCATCCATCCATCCATCATCCATCCATCCATCCATCATCCATCCATCCATCCATCCATCCATCCATCCATCATCCATCCATCATCCATCCATCCATCCATCCATCCAGATTTCTCCCTTTCTCCATATAGGCTATCATTTGATCGTTCACGCTCTCCATAGTTCCCCTATGGCGCGAGCACAGGGCGACTGTTGCGCGCCTTCAGCTAGCATGCGCGTTTCCTGTCTCTTGCACTGTGAATCGTGCCGCCTGCGCTGTGCGGAGATGCAGGGGAAACCGTATCTGATGGGGAAACGCAGCTCGACGTAACACCGGTATTTCCATGTGGAAAACGCTGTTTTGCTGCAGGAGTCCTCCTCACTCTCCATCTCTCTGTGTGTGCTGTACGTTAACACCCGCCAGCAGAAACACCCACCTACCCAACTGACAGACGGAATCTCACTCAGCCATTCTCATCCTCCCCTCTCTCATGACAAGGCGCGCACGAGTCCTAGCATGAAAAAAGGTTCTTTGTGCGACCTGAGTAACTCGCAGTAACGGGGTGTCTGCAATGGTAACTGCATTATAGTTACAGTCAAAGTAATTAGTTGGATTACTCGTTACTAAAACAAGGTAACGGCGTTAGTAACGCAGTTACTTTCAACGTCGTTTCTACCATCACTGGCTACAAGCATGCTTACTGTGAGGGACTGTATGCGAGTCAATGAGTCGATGCAATCAACTGGTTTTGGTCATGTAGCAGGAAGAAGCCTGCTCCAATATTCAGAACACCTGACCTCCTAATCAGCTCATGATTGCTGGAGAGTATAAAGGGAAACTCTCTCACCTGTTTGCTTATGCTGGCATTTGGTCACACGCCGTTGGGAAGGTTGCTTGGAAAGCATGCAGGTCTTAAGCTCTAACATTAGTAAGTAATGTTTCTCCTTCTGCATAAGACCTACAAATTTAGTGTTTGATTTGACTTGTTTAAATCTAGAAGACTGGAAGTCTCCGGCTTTGTACCGGGGTGTGGCTGTAATTCACCCTCCCCAGTGCAGTTATCACATAATACGGTTTATATTGTTTTATTGCACCCATAGAGCTTCATAAAACAAAAATAACAATTATTTACATATAGAACATATTGGAGAGCTGATCCTCCTGCTGTGGGCCGGAAAAGATCATCTGATTTAAGGTGAAGTCATCCAGCTCTGGTAGGTGAAGATGGTTTCCGCTGGCTTCCATCTTCTGTAAATCACCTAACCTTTTGATTTAATTCCAGCGCTGACACTGCTGCAGCTCGCCGGAGACCCTGCTGTTTGTTTCCCTGTTTTCTTTCATTTTTTTTTGTTTAGTTTATCTTTGTTCATTGGTTGATATTTCCTCTGGAACATTCTATTGTTGTGTGTGTGGCACCCAGCTTTGCTGCAGGTAGCAACCAGGGGTTCTTTTAGACTATTCTATTAAAGCATTGATGATTTTAATTATGTTGGAGATAACCTCATTTTAGTCTTTGGCCAAGTTTAAATGGTAGCATTTGTTTTGTTTGTTTTTGTATTTGCTTGTTGAACCCTTCCCTTTTGTCTCCAGGCTGAGTGCTGACGGTAGTGGGAGGGGCCTCCTGGGAGACCGGAACTGTGTGTCGTGCGAGGGGCTGGTGTTGGGATTTTTTTCTTCACGATTGAATGCCTGTTCACAAGTGTTTGGGGGGATTTATTTTGGATTTATACATTTATTTTAGGAACATGTTCCCATTTGGACAGCCGGTACGTTGCTGGTATAGGCCTCAGTACTGTCCGATCGCTTCCTATTGTGCTTCCTTGTGTTGACAGTTTTTTTTTTTTTTTTAAAGAAAAAAACAAAACAATAAAATGTAACTCATTTTATTGGAAAAGTCTTGTTCTCTTTTGTCACAAACCTCAAGCGTACTGGTAGTCTATTTTCTTGGGTGCAATTCCCAAGGTGGCGTTGTTGACAACTTCTGGTTCCACTGTTCCTCACAGCAGGGTATCAGACTCCTACCTTAGTGCTGCCACACTCAGATAGAAAACTTTGAATTAATTTGACTGGATGATCTGGTGAACTGTAAAGTGCCTTGAGATGACATGTGTTGTGAATTAGCGCTATAGAAATAAACTGAATTGAATTGAATCAGCATAATAGAAATTGCTGACCTTTCTCTATATCAAATGTCCATTGGTTATCATTACTATTGTGTTAGATTGAAAATATAAAAATAGATGCTAAAACCTAAGAAAAAAGACATTGCAGAGAGACAGAAAATAGAATAGAGGAAATGTATTTTATGAAGACTTCTGGCTCCATCTCCATCTTTTGTATAATAACATTATACATGTATCGGGGGAGGGTTGCTGAACCTGTACCATCTTTTAGAACAGAATAGAATAGAATATTCCTTTATTGTCCCTCAATAGGCAAATTGTGGTGTTACTGCAGCAAAAGCATTACAGCAAAAGTGGTCACACAAATGTGTATCTTAAAATTGTCTAAAAATAAAATATGTGACAGAGTTTAAAAATAAACAAATGAAATAATGTACTGTACTGGTTTTTGACAGTCAACCGAAGAATAAACAAGCAATATACAGCCGTGGAAATTTTTATAGTGATGGATATGTAAAAATAGCTCCAACACCAGAGATGTGCAAAGCAACAGCAGAATGTTAATTAGTGAAAAATGGTCACACAAATGCGGACCTTAGAAAAGCAACAATTTTTACTTGCCCAGTCTAATGTTTGATAAATATAGCTCCTAATATTCATTTTTGTATATATATCAATGAAACATGTTTGTGTTTTAAATGTTTTTTTGTAATTCAGTTAGTTTCCAGGTTCCTGGTGTGTATATGCATGCGTCAGATAATGAACTCAAGCCTACATTACCGTGTTAACATGCTTTTCAATCCTTCCTGCACATTATTTTCAAACTAAACACTGTTGTGTGCTTGGAAAAATATGGAAAAATATAAATTGTAATGTTAAAAAAAAAAAAAAAAACTTGACAGGTTAAAAACTTACACTACTACTACTCACCAATTTAACATGTTTAGCTGTATAACATTTAAATGCACCACTCCAATGTCTAAGAGAAAATTTTTTTATGAACATTCTTTAATGTATGACCTGCATCACTGTAAGGAGACTGCCGTATGATAGAAACATTTACACTGTGCTCATACAATTATTATTATTATTTTCCTAATCCCTGACTGATTGTTTTTAAACTAGCGTGTATTATAGTATAGATT